ATATAAATTTAATATTAATATGATGTTAAAAAATTTTTAGGAATCCGGTTTGATTCGAATCAATTCGAATCGAGTCATGAATCAAATCGAATCCTGTTTTTTTGAATTCGAATCGAATCAAATTGACTACAGAACAAATTGAATCAAATCGAATCACTCTCAAATTCGATTCAATTCGATTTGTTCGGAGCCTTAATTTTACCACATAAATTTTTTTTTCTTTTTATTGCAACCTGAGTTAAGTTGGAGTTCAGTGAGTGCAGGAATTGTGTTATATTAAAGGTAGCCAATAATCTATTAGCAGAAAATGATTTAATATTAAAATTATTGGTAGTGATAATATCACCAATTTATTATATTGTCTATTGCTATTTGTAATTCACCTAAAGTATTGTGAGAATTATCAGAGCCAATATTTGAGTTATTGTCATCATCATCATCCTGCAGGTTATCAATTTCTATATCTTTTGTATTCTTGTCTTTATTTAAATTTTTTACAAACTTTTTAAAGTTTTCATCAATTCCTTTTTTATAATAATTTTCACAGTATCTAAGACTCTTTCCAATGTGTTATAACATGTTAATGATAATCATGTTCACAAACTAAAACTATTATATCATCAATTAGAAAATGTTTCTTTACAATGATCACAAATATTAAGAGATAGTATATATGATGTATGATAACTGGTTGGTAAACATTTTATATCCACAATGCAATCAAGTGAAGCTAAATAATATGGTGTGATTTCTTTGAAAAGGATGGATTAACTTGATCAGGTTGAAGCATATGTTACCAGGATCAGATGATGATGATGATAATTTGGCCAAATCCTTTAATTTCGGGTCAAATTAAATTTTATTTCTATTTTTTTTTTTATTATGATTTGGGGCATACTGCAACAAAACCAGACAAAGTGAACATTGGTATTACCAAAAATTACAGAGATCAAAATTTAGTCATTTGTAATGTGTGTTAAAATTAGCAGTTTTATAATATCCCATTTGTTATCTTAAGTGATAT